GGGGATAAGGTTTCTATCAGATGACGCAAAGATGTAACATTTTAGTAGTTTTCAAAATTGGGATCCCATTCTGGCTATGGAAAAAAGAATTCGGTACCTAATATTTAGGGGTACCAAAATGGGACCGTTACTTTCAGAACAGCCCAGCTTGTGCGCAATTAGTTCACGTGGAGAAAGCCTACACCCTAAGTCAAGAACCCTAAACTAAACATCCTAAACCTTGGAATCTAAACGCTGATCCTTATATCCAAAATACTAAGCCCCAACTACTAGACGCTAAGCCAGAAGTCTTAAACCCAAATACGCGGTCCCAAATCGTCAGTGCAATTCCTGCTTGGGTGCCATTGTCGGCAGGTTGAGGATATGCAGCCAGAGCAACTCTGTTCTCTCCTTACCACATCTAGGATTTGGGATTTAGGCTGGGGAAGTTTCCCAACAATGGGAGAGAGCATGGAAAAATGAAGTATATAGGGGTGTCTAGGGATACAAAGGGTTTGGGGATATTTTTGACCCTGAAGATTGTTTTTTGCCTTTTGGGAGCAAAGACCTGTGTTTCTTATGGGGCTTGTTTCGATTTCGAGACTTGTTCCCCTACAGCTGGAGGGTTTATACATACCCATCCATTTAGTTTTTCATTTTCCTTTTGATTTGATTCTCCTTACTGAGTCCTACATCCCCATAACTTCACTCCCTTCATTTGGACCATAATCCAAACTCCTTTAAAGAGGGGTATATGGGGGATTATATGGGGGACTACTATAGGGGTTACTGAGGGGGATACTAGGAGTTTGGACTACAGCTCATTTGGACATAGGGTTTCCACTGGAGGTAGGGAACCCAGGAGTTCGTCGGGTTGGGATGCTCACATGCTTCTTTTAAGCCCTGCAATCCTAAACCCAAATTCTCTGCGGTTTAGATCTTAAACTCTAAACCCTCAACCTTAGACTCTGCTCTGCCCAGACCCTGAATACCTAAAACCCTAAACCCTAGACCCTGGAGTTTTAGGTGCAGGCCTTATCCAACCTCAGGATGACTTCCCTTTTCCGTTGAAAAATATGTTGCTTTGGGAAGTGAAACCCAGACACCACAAATCTTTCGGCGCTATTCGGCAAGAAAAGCTCTCATTTTAGGGTGCCTGTATTGGCTACGGCTAAGAGTTAGGGGTTGGGATAGAGGCTTTTAGAGTTTTGGGCTTGGGGAATGCCTCAAATCCGCTCAGCTTACAGATCAGAATTTCAGGGTTTTGTGTTTATAGTGTTTAGGGTTTAGGGTACACAGTATTCTGCAATTAGCGCAGTTTTTATTTCCATTATCCCATTATAACGCTAATATAACCCTAATATAACCCTAATATAACCTATAACCCTAATATAACCCCAATATAACCCTAATATAACCCCAATATAACCGAACCCAACCCTCAACACAAACCTGTAAAGCCTAAGCATGAAGCTCTGCCCTCGAAGCCCCAAACCCGAAACCCTAAAATGGTCAACCTCAGAGGATTCCCTTGCTTTGGGATCAGAGTTGTTATGCGTTTCCGTGAGGGGTTGAAGGTTTGGGGTTGAAGGTTTAGGGTCTGGGCTAAAACCTGAACTCTAAACCCGAAACGCTTACACCCAGGAAGACATGTCCCTCACTGTTTTCCATTCGCGTGTTCCTGGCCCCGCCGTTCCCCCTCCCAGTGCCCAATACGATGTCCCCTGTGGAAGCAAGTGAGCCGTAAGGTCCATTTTGAAATCTTATAGTAAGCAGGCTCTACAGATGATCTCTGTCCTACCTTTGGTTCTTAAGGGAGAATGGAGAAGCGAATGTGAGGAGTTTGAAAGGGAATTTTCAAAGGGGTTATTTTGAATCCGCTCCCCACTCCCTCTTGGGCACTATTACATATTGTATAAGTGCGAATAGTTTCGAGTCTTATCCTTCCCTTTACAATTCTTATGTAGCTATGTCAGATTTTCCCCCGACACCCCCATGGAATTATTTGAGCTCTTTTATCACGGTCCCGGTGAAACTTTTTGCAGAACCCACCTTCCTTGATTCCATTTCTCTAGAGGTGTGTTCATAAGTCTCAATTTTTGTCCCGCCTATGTACAGTGACCTTAAGTCTTAAATCCTCACCAGTAAAGATGTACAGGGTTCCCCATAATCTTTCAGGATTCTACAGTAGAGCCCCAACAATAGTATTAACATCATGATTCACAGTACATAGGTTTTTCTTTCATGCAATCCAACACTCTATAGTACATAATACCTTAACTCCCAAGACCCCCCAGCAATGCTCATGGCAGGTTGGATGCCGGTGGTTGTATCCACACCTGTAGGACCGCTGGTTATGCCCATGTTCCTAGTGGTACCACGTATTGTCCCGCTTGTGCCAGAAGCCCTTGGGCCCAGACTGCGCACAAGACCAAGAACCGAGCCGGAGCGAGGGGGGGGGGCACGAGAGGGTTCTCGGGTTTTCGGGCGTTTGCGGTTTGTAGGGTCGTCCTTGCAACTACCACTCCAATTGTCACTTGCGTTGCAACTAATAGTTAGTAGTGGTAGTAGTGGTGGTATTAGTAGTGCGAGTAGTAGTACATGGGAAAAGCGGGACTTGCTCCAAGGTGGCTCCCCTCGACATGACCAAGAATCACCTCGTCACCTTTTCCCCAGTACCTGAAGTTCAGCGCATGCCCCCTGAAGATGCCCCCATTGAGGATCCGGAACAAGCCCAAGAATGACCCCTACGACATGAATTTCATCACCTACACCCTAAAGAGTTACCTTCTGACGATTCGGGATAGTGCCAACAACGACCCCTTGCCACAGTGACTGCGCGCTTCAGGTCCCGGACTGGAACTACCACATCGTGGCCGCGGACGGTGCGACAAGAGATGAGGGAAGCTACCAGCACGCCCCAGGGACCCCCTCAATACGACCGAGGTCAATCTCAGCATCATCCCCTACTACAAGGATGAAGAAAATATGGAATGCGAAGAAATCTTCCTGATGGAAAGAGGTCATTATAGGGGACCATCCAGGAGACCAAGGAATGATAGGTCCAGAGAACGTCTGGGAGAAGATGGAAGATTGTCGGGGACAAGGACAATTGAGACCAGAAGGCTAATGCCACCGTGGCGTAGACGGGAGGCACTCCGTGAAGATCCTGCCCCTGCAAGACCTCATGAACAAAACCAGGCAGACCAGACCTTGGACGAATGGCAGTGGCGTCACAAGTTGTCATACATGCGATGGCTCTGGAGATCGCCAGAGGAGTGAGCAGGGCGATGGAGAACAGAGCCATGAGAGATGCAGTTGATGACCTTGTCGAAGTACCGGTGGAAGGCATGGAGGAAGAAGACGAAACAGGTCTATTGCAGCTTGCGCGCGTCAAGAACGAGGAGAGTGCCTGCGTGCAAGCCCCACAGGCGGGAAGACTTGGAGGAGCTGATGGTGGTGTCCGAAGACGCAGCGTTAAACTGCCCTGGAGACCACATAAAGCAGCCCATGTGAGCACCAGGAGGCGCAGGCTACAGAGACGCCGGAGGTCGCTCAGCATGGACGTGGCGGAGTGGGCAGCCCTAGCAGGACCCCAACATCAAGACGCAATCTTCGCTACCAAACGCGTTGCTGAGGAACTTCGCAATGTCGTCAGTGCGCCTGCACGCCCTGTTGGTGAAGTGGGGCTATGCAGATCCAAAAGCAATCGCCTGCAGGCCTTACTTCGTGAACGGGGAGATGCTGGAGCACTCATACTTCTTGCGGGCCTCCTCGAAATTTTATCACTCATCATCCTGGATGTGTGCAATGTGGTCAACGTACACATCTTACATCGTGCGGCGGAGATACGAGGCATGGGCTCCACGGAGGAGGGCAAGGAATACAACGCGCCCAGTCCACACTACGGCCAGGCCAATGATGACAAGGAGGAGGCGCGCTGGAGAGGTGAGGGATGATACCACTTTGATGCAAACGAAGATGGATGGAGTGCAGACAGGTCACTGGCTGGAGGGTGAGAAGCAGAGAATCTTGACCCACATGATGGACCAAATCCAAGATGGCTTTGCGATTCTGGAAGCGCATTCGATCTATGTGCCTGAGATGGGCGAGGAAAAGGGGGCAACCGGTGGAATTGCTTTAAGTGCACACGTTGAGCATCCAAGGCAGTCGTCCAAGGGTGAAGGATACGGTGAGCTTCATGCAAACCTTTGTCGTGATATCGTGTGATGACAAATGTGAATGACCCCGTGATGACAGTGAGAATGGTGAGTTTGACGCCTTCTGGTTTGAACGATTTCAAAGTGCCATAGTCCGGGAACATGGACTTAGACGTTCCGCAGGCTTCGTGGTCCAACTCCAATATTTGCTGAAGCAGTTCCGCACGGAAGGCGGCAGAGCGATCAGCAGGCTCAGAGACTTGAGGCACTTTTGGTGGCGGCGCAGTGGGACGTGGTGGATCATGGATGTGTCGACATGGCGGCTGTAAGCATTTGGAGTTCGAGGCTCCGCACCTTTTTGAGATGGGCCGTGGTCTCCCACCGTTGAGGAATTGGACGGATCTGCGAAGCTTCTTCACGCTGAACTTCGGCAAGAATGGGAAGCACAATGCGCTGCTGCTCGGCTCGACGAGAAGATGATGCGGTCTTGGCCAACAAGATGAACAACAATGAGGGTGCTGTGGCAATGAGCGGTCTTGTACAGGTTCCGGTAGTAGTTGGACAGTCGAGTGAGGTTGAGGGTCCATTGGAACTTTTGTCAGGGCACGCTGTTCAAAGGTTCGGACGGATTGCGCATTGCATTGGAAGTCAGGGTGCGCAAGCGCAGGCTCTCTGTGGGTACCCAATTTCCTGAGGAAACCTGAGTGCTGGTGTGTAGGCCCGACAAGGAAAGTAGACGGGCACGAAGCTGATGCTGTAAATGCTCGGTGGTATGCTTCTTTACCGCATACGTTCTGGCAGACAGAAAACCCTAAACCCTAAACCTTAAACCGTAAATCCTGAAATTTGTGCAAAAACAAGGCGCCTTACTGAAGAGCGACCCCAGCCGGGGACTCAGCGAGGCCAAAGCAGAGGCGAGGCTGAAGAAGGCGCGCGGTTTAGGGTTTAGGGTCTGGGGCTAAGGGTTTAGGGTCTAGGGTTTAAGATTTAGGTTTTTTTTTTTGTTCGGGGGTTTGGGGATTGGGGGTTTTTTGGATTAGGATTCGGGCTTTTAGGTTTTAAGGTTATAAGGTCTTTTGGGGGTTTTGGGGTTTAGGGGGGTTTAGGGATTGGGATTTTGGTATTTGGGGGTTATAAGGTGTGGTGTTTTTGTGGTGGTTCAGGGTGCTTCGGGGTCCAGGAGTGTTTGTTCGGGGAGGGTAAGATCTAGGATGAAGTGTTTCGGGGTTTTGGCTTTTGCGTTGAGGGCCCAGGAAAATGTAGGGCATTTGCGGTTGAGGGTTTTGCAGCCGGGGTTGGGTTGGGGCCTTGTGTTCTCGGGCTGTATGAGGATGCGCACTACACGGTCATACAAAATGGTCGCAGGCGCCTTCTCAAACAGGGTTGGGGTATTTGGCAATCGCTGTTCGATTTCGAGAGTTGGCGTTGTACCCCACTCATGCAAAGTTGGCTGGAAGGTCCGAAAAACACGTATTGAGAGACGTGCTAGGTTTCTAAATCAGGAGTTTCTCACGAAGATCATTAACAAGTACTGCAGAAGCCTTGCTATATCCCTGAATTGGGGGGCCCCGGTATAGATCCCTGTTTATTTTTGATCCTCATTTTTGGGAGCCTTCAAAACAGGGACCTCAAATTCTAGAAGCCTCCATATTTCGGGTGCTCATGAAGCATTAAACTCTAAACCCTAAACCCCAAACCCAGTGTGTGCGTCGATTTGTGGTGGGCAGGATGGCCCTAACCAGCTTCAGCAAGAGCCCCGGTTGGGGCTCTTCATGCTCTTTGTCCTCCAGCTGACCAGCACCCCGTCAGCAGGAAGTGAGAATGGAGGTTTCTTACGGTTGGTATGACCAATCTTATTATATGGCCCTTAGTATCGTTTACACTGGGCTTGTTCCACTACATTCGTGTAGCGTTCTTCTTTATCAGCAGTTGGGTTTCTGGATTGAAGGGTTTAGGGTATGAGGCTCGGACAGGTAGTGATAAGCTTGGGTTGGTGTTCCTGTGGGCTGCACTGAAGGGCCAGACATTGAGGACTGAGTCTTTTGTGTTTCGGATATGATGTGGTTTTCAGGGTGTACAACGGGACCAACAGAGGGCTTTACTACTTCGTTGGTTGTCTGCTTAACATAACATTAGCTAGTAGTTTCTACAGCGCCGCCTGGTTATTCGAAGGGTTTGGGGTTTTGCGCATTTAATGTTTCTGCAGCTTGGACTCCGAGAAAGGTACTCAAGCTGGGGGAGCCTTTCGGGGTTAGAGTGGAGGGTTTTTGGGCTTAAGGTTCAGGGTTGAGGGTTAAAGGTTTATCAAGGAGTTATGAAGGTTTGTTTGCATCAGAAAGGACACTTGGGCACAGCAATGCGATCAATGTGCAGTTCTGTTCACCTTCATTTTCATCTGATCTTGTGCAGCTTGTGCATTGCCAGAGTGACCGGATTGTTGATGGACGGAAAGCAAGCCCTACATAAAACAAGTATTCCCCCATAATGCTGGATCAGTATGGGGGTTACTGTGCATTGGGGCTCCCAATCTGTACCATAGTCCTCATTGTAGGGATTCACAAAATGGTGGTCTTCACTCTTGGAAATTCCCAGAGTAGCCTGCTTCTTACAGCGCTAAATCTGAAAACAAAGCCCTAAACTAAAGTCAGAGGCAAAAAGCTGAACCGGTCGCAGATCTTCAGGTTTCATCATTATCCTGCTCATCATAGCTGCTATTGCTTCCATTGTCGTAAATGCCACGAATGAGGGCAAGCGTTCGGACCCTAGCATTGCAGACGTCCTTGCAAATTCAGATGAGTTCATGGCCAAGGGTTTGAGAAGAGGTTAAGGGTTCTGATGGCTTGCAAACGAAGCTGGGTATCCAGGGATGGTTGGTAGTAGGTAGGAGTGGGAGTTTAGGGTTGACTGTTTAGGTCCAAGCAGGTACTCAGGTACCCTTCGAACTTGTGAAGGTTTCGGATACAACAAGGCGCAGATTCCATACCTCCACTAGTTTAGGGTTTAGGGTCTATTTTTTATTGTTTAGGGCTTGGGGTTTGGGGTTTAGGGCCTTTTAGCAAAGCTTTTGTCGGCAGCGTTTGGGCCCCACCCTGGCAATTGCTATGTATTTATTTACGCCTATAAATCCCTGAATCGCTATATACCCAAACATACTCCCTATAGCCCATATAGAGGTATTTAATCCTTTTATATAATCCACGTACTCCCGATGGCCCCTGTAGAGCCCGCTTTTCATTGCAAAATAATCCTATTCATTCCTTTTGCTTTTTTGATGTGGATGCCAGGCCTAAACCCTAAACCTTAAACCCAAATCAAAAATCTGTCATGCTTGGTCTCTTAGCCTGAGCTTGTCTTGTCATACCAAGGAAAGTTCGGCAGAAGGAGGGGGAATTTAGGGGTCTGGTTTAAGGTGTAGGGTTTAGGGTCTCATTTCGGGGTATACAAGGAGGACCCGCCTTTTTTGGAAGCGCTGTTCATTTTAGAGCTCCGCCTACCTGGAAAGTTCTTTCACTTAGAAAGTTCTACTGTCCCCAATAACCCTCACTTCAGCCTAAACCATAAACCCTAAAGTAGTTGCCATTTCATTGTCCATGTTCCTTTCCTCTTGATTCTTCATTACTGGGCTTTGACCCCTCAGCCGTGTATATCCGTAGAGATAGACCTTAAAATATAGCCGTGTCCAACCCTACCAAGTCCCTATAGCCTGCCGCGTATTCCCACGCCTGTGCCCAGGGGATGAGATCTTGTCCTACACAACTGGCATGGCGATCTTTATTTTGGTCCTTTTGTAGCCCGGCCTTATTTGCTGGCTTGCATTACATGTCTGCATGCATGCAAGTTTTCTTGCTGAGGTTTGGATTCACGTTTCGCGACTTTTTCTCATTTAGGAGTTGATTATTCTATTTCAGGGGGGGCTCAGAGGTGTAGAAGTGGCGTTGAGGGCAGCCATGTGTTTTTTCTTTGGCTTCCTTGGTTAGTGTTCGTTTTTGTGAATATGAGCACCATTCACATTCCCAGAGCTGCAGAAACCCTTACCTACATACCATTCGAAGCATATGTCAGGCCTTCAATTTGCTGAGCTCTGCAGGAACCGAAGTGGTGCAACGCAGTTGAGAACTTAGGTGGACTAGGGTTTAGGAGCCCCCTAAACAAGGATTTCAGAAATTGACTTATCATCTCTACTCTTTGCCTGCCAGGGACTGATAGAATGGGACCTGAAGGCAGTTTCTACATGATCCCTTGAATGTCCTTTCCCTGCCAGGCACCAGGTCAGGTAGAAAAAGAACCCCTGAACCTGTACACTGTACCCCAAAAAGCCTCAATCTTAACCCTGAAATCGCAAGCGCTGCAATCAAAAGTGTTAGCATAGCCATCAAGTGAAAGCCCTCAGCCGCTTCCGTGGCCTGGAAAGTTTTCCCCTTCTTAGCAGGGTCATCTTTTCCGTTTTGCCGCGGCTTGCCTAACAGTTGCGGTTGGGCAGGGAGAGCCGCATCCAGCGTACAGTAACACCTCTGCAGAATATGCGTTCAGGGACCTCGGAAAGCATGACCCCAAACCCTAAACCCAGGCTCTGCTACTTGATGGGTGTAGGGGCACCAATTTTGGCGCATCTCCCTAAACCCTAAACCCTGAACCTATAGTCCCCCTTAAGTAGATAGAATATGGCTTGGGGTATATTAGAATAAGATCCCAATATACCCCATATTCTATCTACTTAAGGGGGACTATAGGCGTAAACCCCAAACCTTAAACCCCAAAACCTAAACCCAACACCCAAAACCTAAATTTCCCCTCCCCCCCCCAGGAACGCTGGCATCGCAGCGTATACGGAGCGCTGATTGTTGCCGACCTGAGGTTTTGGGATGACCTCATACATAAGCTCTCAAGGGTTATGTAGGGATTACATAGGGGTTGTTGTATGAGGCTTCTCTAAAATATCTAGGGATTATATTATTTAGGGATATATAGCGGCATGCATAAATATGTATATACACTCTTAGTTGTAGTCCATGCGTTTCATTCCTAGTATCCCCCCCCATTAACTTTCATAGTAGTCCCCTATGTAAACCCTTTTATAATTCCTGTAAGGAGTTGAGAACACGGCTCACATGACTATTCCCAAACCTGAGCTTGAAGCCCTACTTGGCGGTCCCAGGTAATTGTAGTCTATTTTGTATGAGGATACGTGCATCACATCCATGGGTCACCTCCGCAGAGTTACTTAAGATATTGGGTTATTAGTACACTTTATGTAATTGTTGTATTTTGTACATATCCTGGGTCTCCAAGCAGAAAAAGCACCTATTTCCTGCTGAGGCTTAGCCTGAGTCTAAGCCTAAGGGCTTCATTCATGATGTTTCAGTGAGCAGCAGTACACCATGGTGGCAAAATGGCCTTCCACGGAAGATTCTCGTCATTGCTCCTCATGAAAATATGTCTTCGCGCCAGCAACAATAGAAGTAGCTCGCAGCAGCGACAGCTCCTGCTAGTAGATATGGGGGCTGTTCGAAAACACCGTGGTAAAGGTTTTATATGAAACGGCCACGGGCTAACATTCTTCCGTGAAAGTTCACACTTGTGTTCGCGAAAGGAACTATGGATTTCTTGCGAAGAGGTCATTCTGTCATGAGATTGGATGCTACCATATCGCGTGCTTCGAGAGCGATATTGCGCTTGCAGGAGCATCAGCCCTAAACCCTGAGAACTGAATCCCAAACCCTAAACCTAAGATCCCTAAACCCTAAACCCCTCAACCCCTAAACCCTACAACCTAAATCCCTAAACTTTAAATTTCTAAACCCCAAACCCTAAATCCTGAAGCCCAAAAACGAAGATCGGTCGCAGGAGCATCAAGGGTTGTGTATGGGTTATATAGGGATTATGGGGTCTATATTGGGGGTTATGTAGGGATAATGGAAAAGAAAATGGAAACTACCCTAAACCCTAGACCCGAAACCCTAAGCAAAAACTGCTACAGTATAATTCGCAGGAGCATCAAGCAGGCAATGCCCTCGATGCCTTGGCCAAGCTCTCACAGCCAGAGGTGTCGGTGCTTCGCGGCGGCGAGGCCAGGGTTCCAGGGTTTAGGGTGCATGGTTTAGGGATGAGGGTTTAGGGTTTAGTGTTGGGATGAGGGTTTGGGGTTAAGGGTTTAGGGTTTAGGATTTCGGGCTTAGGGTTTTAGGTTTTAGGAGTTAGGGTATAGGGTTAAGGGTGCAAGGATCTGGGATTTGGGTTTAGAGATTTATGGTTCAGGGAGGAGGGCTTAGGCCTGGGATTTAGGGTTTAGCGATGAGGGTTTAGGGACTGGGATTTAGGGTTTAGGGATGAGGGTTTAGGGCTTGGGATTTAAAAGGTTTGGGGATGAGTGTTTAGGGATTACCCAGTAAAAGTGTGTAATAGGCATAGCTTCAGGAGCTACGTCTATGTGTAAGTACAATATCAGTCAGGTCAATCCCCCCTGTAGTCATAGCTCCTTACTGTAAGGCCTTTATTTGCCTAGCGTGGTCCCTTCATGGTACCCCTAATTTTGGGAAAGCCTAAACCTATATAACTCTATTAACCCTATATAACCCTATATCATGGGGGATTGACCCAAAATATCAGTATCATCATACTGTTACTTGGTGGGGGCAGAACCCAAGCTTCACGGTCTAGGATGACGCGGGGCAAGGTTTTTTGTTGATAGCACCCACCCACCCTTCAAAGCTGCAAAGATTGCCGCAAACCCTACACCCTGCCTGAGCCCTAAATGTTAAGCCGTGTATAGAGGGGTAGAAGAGCAGACGCAGCAAGCCTGGTATGTGTTAGCCTGAGGTACAGCAGAAGAGCATGCCCACTTGCAAGCAGCCGAGATTGGCAAGAATAGTCTTAGGGTTTTGCAGGTCTGGACAGGCTTTTGCGTGTGGATGCTTCAAGAGCTTATACAGACTGCCTGGAAAACATCCAACCGCAGCTGCCATGGTCTGTCAGCATATAGGGTTCTTATACGCCTCTTGGTCCCTTGATTCCCACATTCCCAAAATGGGGATCTCAATATGGACCCCAAGATACTATAAACCTCAATCCCCTACATTACCGGGGGTTTTCAAGGTTACCCCTGCTTGGAGTCCTCAGGTGATGAGCATACCGACTGTGCGATCCCTGGCTTGTGCAGGGCGAACTCATCTCCAGAATCCTACATGGCGGTTTAGGGCTGGGGTCTAAGGCTTAGGGTTTAGGGTTTAGGGCCTAGGGTTTCGTGTGAGGGTTGTCAACAATGTGGTCCCTTCTTGGGGTACCTTAGATATTGCATTATCTTGTGGACCCAAAATGGGACCATAATGATACACACCATGCCGCTCGGAGGTTCATGGGCAATCATGACACTGTTCCAGGTCTTCACGAGCTCGTTTACAATTGTTGCCGAATTTCATGTGTGCACTAGCTTTGCAAATTTGCTCCCCATTTGACGGACTTACGTTCCAACCTCGCATGTTATAATTGTTCGATAACCAAGCATGCAGTTGGAGCAAGGCCACTGCAAGCATTGTCAGGCCATCCAACATGTCCATAGTACTTGCTTCAGGCATATATTATCCCGTGCCCCGATAACAACCTGCTTCACCCGCAAGCATATTATGATGTAGGGAGCATGTCTGATCTATAGCTAATATTCACTATCGGGAGGCACTAGGGGGAGTGGACATTGGGTATTTCAGAGGTCTGGGCCTAAGTGCAGGCTTCAGTCTTTACTTAAGGAATGAGAGGTGATCGCAGCTGCTTGCTTCTCCTGGGGCATGTAACAGGCTCCCCTATGGGCCCTTAGCCTCGAATCTTGGGCTTGAAGCAGAGATAGAAACCATCTGAACCTAGTAACTTCAGCTTAACACTCCATGGGATCCAGGTCTTTCATACCGATTATCAAGGATGGTGGTGCTGATGAAGGGGTTCCAGTCCTGAAGGGGTTTAGGGTAAGAATCCTCAAAGCTATGGCCTGTTTTGTGGTTATAGTACAGGTAGCAGCCTTGCTAACGACTCAGATAGACAGCAACTAGCAACGGGCTGCGGCAGGGAATACGGGAATAGTTCTTTCATTTGAAAGTGTGTATGGACTGAAGCGGGTTTCTGAAAAAGCACCGAAATGAGCCGCGTGCAGTTGGCGGACGACATGCCGCACCATGAACGGCTTGTAAAGTCATGTGGCTGGATTTCAGCTATTCTTTCCCCGAATTTTAAGTACTGCCACACCCAATAGAAAAGACTCCCTATAGGTCCTTAGACACATTGGAGGATACATTTGTTTTATGGCATTGGGGGGCCTCTGTAAGCCTAGACGATAAACTTGAGGCCCTTAACCTTACTGGTGGCTAGTCGGGAAAAAGTAATATCATCCCTTCATAATCTCAATGTAATATTTGCCTCCTTACTCCCTACTAACCCCTGGTAAGTAACAGCAAGTTTCAGGTGGATGTTGTGAAGGGGGACATTGTTCTGCTGGAGACCGGCGATGTTGTGCCCGCGGACCTGAGGCCCTCCGCCTGACTTCCAGCTTCCGTCTTTAGGCTTTGGCTTTAGGTTTTAGGGTCTTGGATTTATGGTTTAGGGATTAGGGTTTAGACTTTGGAGCTTAGGTTTTTTTTGGACCCTTTCTTAGATAGGTTTCGGGCAGATTATGTTCAGGGGTCCGAAACTTGGGTTGCAGGGTGCCCGAGGCTCCGGGGGGCCGTAATTGGTGGTGGGTCTGTGATGTACCGTTTGCAATTCGTATGCCAAATCAACGACAAACTTGAAACCCGAAACCCTTTGATGTTTCAGATGACTTGAGGACATCGTGGGTTTGTGGCTGTGTGCCTGGATTTCTTGTTTTGGAAGGTGGTTACCATGTCCTCAAGCGGGTTGTCCAAGCAGGGTAAGTAACGAGTACCCCCTCATCTGCGCTACCATTCCCTAACGCTCCCTATGGTTCCCTAGTACCGACTCCCCTTGAACCCACCACCCTAAAGGGCGTGGTAAACGTGGAGAAATTATTATCAGCTATACTCTCGAACACGAAGCCCCAAATCCTCAAACCTGAAATCCTAAAACCAAAAATCACTAGAATGCAAACACGTGAAACTCTAAACCAGTGGAAGCCTAGATACCAATTGTTTGCTTGTAGCTCCCATAAGTTTCAAAGGTTATCAAAACATGAACTGCTCAAAGTCCATCTTCTTTTTGATGGCTGCCTTCTAGCATGCGTCCTTGCAATCCATATATAGTCACAGGCAAACTGCCCAAAATCCTTATTCACTTTACTCAAGGCCACATGTACACATTTACATACACATATTTGCATGACGTAAGCTGCCAAAATCTGCGTTGTGATGTATGTATGTATGTATGTATGTATGTATGTATGTATACATACATATATACATATATATATATAATTTCTGTTTGGTGCTACCCCCCCTCCAAAACCTACCTTTTGATCTAAAAGCATGGCCTGTTATCTTTTCAGACCTCCAGAATCCCAGAATTCCATAATTCCAGAATTCCAAATTTTCACGACTCCAGAATTCCAAAATTCAAAATCTGGAATTTCTGGAATTATAAGGCCCTGCAAATTTACAATTCTGGAATTACGGGGCCCGCAAATCTTGGGTTCTGGAATTATGAATATAAGGTCTTGCAAATCTGGAATTCTGAAATTATGGGGCCCCGCCAGTCTGGAATTCTGGAAGTTTAAAGCCTCGCAAATTTGGAATTCAGGAATTCTGGACCTGTAAGGTCGTGAAAGCTGGACTTTTGGACTTCTTTAATTCTGGAATTCAGGATATTTCAGGACATCTAGAAACCAAGGATTCTGGAAGTATACTATTTTGCAAATCTGCACATGTAAAATTCTTGGAGCTCAGGCGGGGTCTCGAATTCTAAGAAAAAAACTACATATGGGGGCTCATAAGCCCGGGTTTGCTTTGCTTTTTCCGTTCATGACGTTTGCAATGACCATCCACCTCCATCCCCAGAAGCACTTGCCTCGAGGGTCATTTTCATGCATATGAAAACGCAATATGTCAAAAGTCTACAGAGGTCACTCGAAGCCCAAGCAAAGCCCCCTCTGCAAAGTCTGAGAAGTTGATGTATTTTTTCCTGGCAGCCAGTGTGAACCTAGGATTAATCTTCGTATAGCCCCACGGCCAACCACTTGCAGCCTTAATTCTATAAGGTTCCCACATAGTCAGCCACTTCATAAATGGGCCGGATACAGAGAGCCTGGTAAGATGCCATAGGCTCCCAAACCTAGCCAGAATTCACAAGCAGAATTTCAACGAGAAAGGACCCTGTAAAATTCCTCTTCACCACATTTTGGGGACGGCACATTGTGTTGAAAGTTCAAATAGATCAGGGAGCTCATGATTTTTTTTGCTGAAGTCTTCGAAAAGACAAACATAAGAAGTCCTCATTAAACTCACAAGCTGTTGATCCTCATAGGAGCTTATCACGGGTTCTTTAGTCTGAATTCTTGGTTGTTGGAAGTCTTGATTGGACCTGAGATGAGAATGTTCACGTCGAGCTCTCAATCAAGGCTTTTGTTCAACATCTTTGGCAGAGGTCCTTTTTACTAGGAGTTTGACTCAAAGGAAGGGGCGGGGGGTAGGGGGGTAGGGGGGCGGGGGCTGAGAAAGCGGAGCGAGGATGCATATATATATATATACTTCTATAGATAGATAGATATAGATAGACATGTATATATATATATATATGTATATATAGAGAAATTTTCTGAAAACAATACCCATAGAATCCTTCAGAACGAACACCCATCCCCCCTAATCCCCATTTACTCCCTATATATCAGTTGGGATCCTGAGGGGCCTCTTGTTTTGAGAAACTAGCATCTGTAACTTGGGCCCTAAACCTACAACCCGTAACAGTTCGAAGAGTCTTGCAGGCTCCTTGAAGCAGCAGACGTGTTACCTGGACTCAATCGAAGTGTTTTTACATGTGGCTGAGATAAGGGGTCCTTAGGGAAGCACATTGGGGCTAACGGCTGATAGTTTGAGTTTGGGATTTAAGGTTTAAGTTTCAGGGTTATTCTTCAGGGATATAAACTGAGCGGCGGTCATCAGGATTTTCCTTCAAGAAGCTCACTATATTCCCGTAATATGGTTACGTATTTTAAGTTCCTCAACAGTGACCTACAGTAAAGTAATGGCCCCAGAGAGTCGTCGAGGATTCATACTGTTTGGGGTTTGGGGTTCAAGGCTCAGTTGTTTTTCGAAATGGGGGGACCCTAGGAATATATCCTTAACTATGAGGAGGTTTTAGTAAGATGCATTGGAGGTTAGCACGTGGTTAGTGCACAGAAAATCCAACTTCGTTTCTCACGTCCGGGTGCGCTTGTAGTGTGTGTCTGCCAAGGCAAATATAGACGCTGGAAGTATGGCAGCACCAAAAGACAACTCAGAAGGTTAACAAACGTGCCTGTGGAGCTTTGGCGGTGTTTAGCATGGGACCCTGTACTCCACTCCCCTTAACGCCCTTCCGAAAAATGGATTCCAAATACAGCTTGATCAAGGGCTATTTGGGCCATGGTGAGCTTAGGTCAACAGTGTTTGGTTTCCAGTTGACGAAAGTGAGGGAGGGGGAGTCCAGAGCCGGAAGCTCCAAAGAGGTGTTCCACCTGTTGTGAACGTTGTTGTGAAAGCTGAGGAAAGTTGATGAGAAGGCATTAACGGGGGAGCCCGATGACGTGCGCAGCCCTCAGCAATTTGTTTTTCCTTGTTGATACGCTTCCTTCTTGAAACCCTGAGCTCTGATCATGGCTGGTCCTTACTGTAGCTGCACGTAGTCAAAGTCATGCAGGCACGTAGGAGCCTGAATAACAATGAAGACACGGTTCCCAAACCCCTTACACGGATGCGTATGGCATATCCCCCCAGTCCCGGTCAAATAGTCTAGGCCCTTACATCACTACTAGGAGACACGACAGTTGTACTTGCCTTTGCCTCACAGAGCAAAGGTCGAAGAACACGAAGATCAAGGAACAGCCTGGACCTTAGAGTTCGGGAGCTGCGCTAGAGGAAGCTTGGGTATTGGGTAATACATATGGTGGTGTCACAGCGTAAACGCGTAACATAACCGATAACACTCTTGGATGCTTTTTTTGGGAACCGTTGGGAACCGTAATATTTCTGTGACACATTACTAAGAGGTAACGTGCCGAGAGTCTGGAGCTCAGACACCTGAGCATTCAGGGAGGACCTTGCTCGACTGCAATGGAGCTTCTGAATTTGTATTTTGCTTTCTAAATACAAGCTGTCCCTGAACTTTCTGAATGAGGTTGCCATGCGTACTGTTGTGATGGTCTTGTCAAGTGACTGACTTCGCCGCCCCTGTTGAATATGTAACTTTCATGAACCTATGTAATATTAGGGGCTTCCTTTCCCTTACAACAGCGGGAATGTTTCCGCTCGGTTCTCCTTTTTGACTTTCCATTAAGAGGGGGAAGGAATGCGATACAATGAATAATCCTTTTTTCCAGCCCTAGGTTATTCCCAGTCTCCATTTCATGTTCCATTGTTTCTATTCGATTTTCCATGAATTGGGATGGTATCCCTAAACCCTAGACCCTCAACCCCAACCTATAACGTTAGGGGCTCAGGGGGTATTTAACGTTTGGGCAGGGAATCATTGTTAGTTTCATGCTCGCTGGCATGGATATCTAAACCCTGCGGGCTAGAACCAACATCTCGATCCCATATTTTACCACCTGGAACCATGAACAAGTTCTACACCACCCAGAGCCCTGAAACACGCAACTCGAAACCATACATTGGCCCTACATCCTGAAGATCTGACCCTGGATCCGAACTCTTACCCCCACCTCACCCCACAACCGATCCCGAAAGCCCGAACCCCAAGCTCCAGATCCAAGCCATTGAAAAGTTGAAAAGCCCTGTAACCCCCTAATCCTTGAACTCCAGACCCTAAACCGCTCTCACTCTTTGGTGCTCAGGACAAAGCTGACGCCCGAGAACATGGTCTTTTCTGGATGCCCTGTGGCCAGTGGCAAGTGTAAAGGCGAGACTTTCCATTTGGGTTTGGAAGCTTTCCCTAGGTCATAGTTAAACATGGCTTCAAGTTTTTTTCTATGCTCAAACCCAAGACGGAATAGAACACCATAGTCTTTGTTTCAATCCCAGCCAGTAGCCGGTAATTGAGTTTCTAGCTGAGTAGCTAGACTTCAGAACCCTGAGCCACCGACCCTTGGCAGAGAACATGTCAGCAATTCCAATAGGTTTCGGAACCTCCGACACGTCTACGGTGCATGTTATATTGGGATAATGGAAAAGACAATGGAAGCTACTATTTAGGGTTTAGGGTTTAGAGGTTAGGGTTTAAGGTTTTGTAGGGCTACAAGCCAGAAAGAGTAGCCAATGTATCCGAACCCCGAAACTCTAAACCCTATAACCTAAACCCTAAACCGCTGCGAGACTTTAGTCTGTGACTTTTGCAGGGAAGTGCAGGGTACTGCATGACACAACCAGTAGACGATCCCTTATACGGACCCCTACGATCTACTGAGAGTTTGTTGTATCCTTAGGTTACCCCTAAACCCTAAACCTTAAGCCACGCATGCAATCCTCATACTACCCGCACATTAGTAACGAAGAGGTTTGGAATCAAGCCGGCAACCCAAACTTTGCAAAGATAGGGTAGGCATTCAAAAAACCACAAACGTGGCCCTCCCCCACCGTATTGGGTAGCCCTAGTTACCCAACATGCTATGGAGTTTTATACACCCGAGGCACAATCCATAGATCGGCATCAGGATCTAGTTGGTTTAAAACCATACATGGTTTGCTCCTCAACTTTCCCTGCAAAGCTTGTGGCAATGTCTTGCCAGACCAACATTGGAAGCACATGGCTTTCAGAAAAACCCTAAACGCCTTCCAAAGCTTGGGTCGCGAGTGTCCCGCCCATTTTGAGAAACCCCAGCATCACATGCGATGCTTGAAGGTTGGGTCTGCCCCCATTCATTAACCGTTGGAAAGTATGTACAATGTAATTGTAAAGAGCCCTTAATATGACCCCCACCTGAAGGTATTGTTGTAGCCACTGGTATGAACACGCGCATCGGCGAGATCGCCAAGATGATGGCAAGCCAGGATGACAAGGCTCCTGTTACCCAGCTTATACAGGGACTTTACTGGGAACCCCAAGCAAGGAACCCCAAGAATATGGTAGAAGTATAATAGGAATTTGCCCACCAGATTCCTTATATTCCTACTATATTCTTGGGGTTCCCTGTTTGGGGTCCCCAAAAGAACCCTTTTAGTTTAGGGTTTAGGGTTTGGAGTTTAGGCTGATCTAGAGCCTGACGCCTTAACAAAGGCAAGCGTAGCAGAATCTTTGGTGTAGAGCCCTTGTGCTCGCGGAAGATACCCAAATATTCGTCACAAGGCCGTTGAAGTCTTGGTACAGCGGATCCTCTAGATCCAGATGGGGTTAAAGGGTGCAGGGATTAGAGTTTACTGGATTGCTGCTACGTTGCTATATTGGGGAAACCTCATTTTTTGATATTGGTAACTTCACTTAAGTTCCTTAAACAGCAACCCAATTTAGGGGGATTGGTGATCAGGCTTGGACTTACTGGCGCTTGAAGGAGATTGGAAGAGTGGAGACATGTAGTAATCCTCATAATTTCCCTTCGGTCGCGGTCCGTATATTCACTTCCCCCACTGTCACCAGTAAGTGGAGCGAGGCCTACTAAACTACCCTCCTTAAGTTCACTTGGGATGTACTCCGCCATAGTGTGTGAGCCAGGAGGGTGCATTTGGAAGACCCCATGTCATGTTCCTAGGATTGCGGTTTCTGCTCTAAATCGAAAATCGAATCACTCAAACCTTATCTTATGACAATCAGCAATGTGTTTACTGGGGAACTCCTCTGACGTAACAGCTTCTCCAAAAAGGGCTCGCAAGCGTCCCTTTGCAATGCCTGTCTACAGCTAAAGCCATTAAGTGGATAGCATTTTTGGATAGTTTTTGGATTCCCCTTATTATGTTATAAGGGGACATCTTCATAAATAGTTCTGGGGTTCAAAGCACCACCAAGTCAAGGCCATGCCATTTCTGGAAAAGGCAATGTCTGAAGCATTGCTCCATCTCCTTGACCATGGGAGCTATATTCTAACCTCCGTAAAGAGGGTTATATAGATGATTGTAGAGGGGACTACTATAAGGGCTATTAAAGGGGATGCTAGGAGTTCAGACTATAGCTCATGTGCAGGGGATAGAGCTTTGGATTTCGGCTTAGGGGCTAAGGGAATCCTGTGAATGGCCTCAATACTTTGAACCCTGAAACAGGTATTTGAAAGGTCCGGCTTTTTCTGGAAGCGTGGGGAAGGAAATATATGAGGGGATAGAAGGCACCTCGAAGTGCTGCCAAATGAACAGTTTTAGATTTAGGGTTCAGGGTTTAGTTCGAAACCAGTACAACTTTGAGTTTCAGGTCCACAATGAGGATGAAGAACCCTGTATTGCAACGGATTCCGCAAGTAGCCTGAAGGGCCCCCAGAAACCCCCTATAATTTAGAAGGGTTCCTATGAGGGGCCCTAAACCCTGAACCCTAAACCCACCATGCTTCCGAACCTTAGACATTACCTTTCGGGTCCGCTTCTGCTGCGAGCAGTTCCTCCTGGCTGTCCTTTGCGACGCGTGCTGGATCCTTTTTTTGTAACTTCATTTGAAAGCTCACAAAACAGACAGTTTTGGATTTTAGGGCTATAGGCCCCCTTAAGTAGAATATGGGGTATATGGGGATCTTGTTCTAATATACCCAAAGCCATATTCTATCTACTTAATGGGGACTATAAGGTTTCCATGGGAATGACGATGGGTATCCAAGGGTTGATGAGGTCATTCAGGATTTTTCGTATGACCTGCGGGAACCCTCCTTAGCCCCCTAAACCGCTGTGAAACGCCAGTCCCATTCCATTTCCGTTTTCTTTTTCGTTTGATTGCAATATCAACCTGGCTATTTGTTACAAGTTCCACAGATACCCTGTACCCTAAGCCTAAGCCCTAAACTGCGTCAGGCGGGCGGCGGGCCCTGCGATTGTCTTCCCACCTCGGCTGAAAACAAGACACCCCTTCAGGCCGGGGTTGAGCGACTACTTAGCGGGTTAGTATGAGTGTAGGGTGTAGGGTTTAGGGTTATATAGGGGTTCTATATTGGGATACTGGAAAAGAACACGGAAACTGTGGAGGGTTGAGGGTTTTTAGGAATTTGGGCTTAAGCTTACTGGTGGTAAGTCAGGAATGAGGGAATAGAATCCCTGTATAACCGTAAACCTTAAGCATCCTTAAACCCTAAGCCATATTATAGTCCCTACTTGACATATTCCATTATCCCCTACCAAGACCCTGTAAGTAAGGAACCCTAAACCCTAAAGGCTAAGCCCTAAGGGTTCAGGGTATGGAAGTGCAGGGCTTACCTGAAAGGCAAGACTTCGGGTTCTTCAGGGTTGATTGGTACTGCTTAGCAGCTTCGGTCTGAAAGTTTGTGGTTTATCCCAATATAACCCCAATACAATCCTCATAATCCTTTATATCCCTTTAAAATGACCTAGGGTTTCCATTTTCTGTTCCATTATCCCAATATAACCCCAGTATACAGCCCCCAAAACCGTAGGTGGGGCTGATAGTGCGCTTGATTTGGCCAACCTGTTTCTGTTGGGATAATAGAAAACAAAATGGAAACCCTAGGTCATTATTGGGCTTATACTGTCCATATTCAGAGTGGGGAAGGGTCGGGGGAGGGCCGGAAGTGTGCTGCAGGAGTATTATAGGGGTCATTGCTTTGCTTGCTTGGAGGTTCATGGGATTCAATGACTACTTCTAGTTGGATTTGCAACCTTACAGCCCCCCTGACTGGACTTATATAGTTTCTCCGAACTACAAGTACGGTTTTATGACCGAGGCGTGCAGTAGACTGTTACTCAGGCCCGTGAACCTCTTCGTGAGGCCTTGTCCTGTGTTTTCCTACTGAACTGGGTGGTGCTTTTGAGCCTTGATTCTGGGGTTTGAGTCTGGGGGCCTTAGGCCGGACTTGATTTTTTAGGGTTTAGGGTATATAAACCCTAAACCCTAAATGAGCAGCTTTGTTAACCTGGCAACTTTGCTTTTTGAGCCGGCTGCTTCCATGTTGGGTTGGCGAACGTCACGGTTGTGTTGTTTTACCCAAAGCTGAAGTGAGAGAGAGAGAGAGTCTGGAGGGCATGTTTTTTGACCGAGAAAACCTACGCATGACATCAGGTTTCGAAAATCGTACTTGGGTACACACACCACCGAGTTTTGCGTACCATGAAGATTTCCTTGACAGAGGTAGGCAATGACTGGTTTGTCAATGCTGGGGGCGAGCAGTGTCTGAGAGGAGAATGTCGAGCGATTGGGTGCACGCATCGGTGTGTTGGCCATCGTGGTGTGCATTGTGGTGTTCATCATCGGGCTTCTGATTGGCACAAAGGACAGGCTTGGATTGCTTCTGAGGGTTTGCATTATCATATGCCTACATGCGGGGATCCTGAGTTGGCAGCGGGGTGGAGTGATGACAGTACAGTTGACATGAGCTGCAAGGGAAAGTCTCTGGTATTGTCGCAGACTATTTCTGCTTTTAGAGTAGGCCCGTAGGAGCAGAATTGCTGAGTGCCTCCTGGAAAGTTTGAGCACTGCCGTAAGCATTACAAATGAGTGTATGGGCCATGGGTATTCGTATAACCTTGATATAACCCCTATAATCCCTACAGTTTCCATTTTATTTTCATTTTCCCAGCAGAACCCCAATATATTCCCGAATATAACCCTAATATGACCAGTTTTTCTGAGGCTGAAAGTTGCAATGCCATTCTGTCAGGGAGCTGTGAGCACAAATGTGGCGCGCTGAATTGAATGAATTTTTAGAAAAGCGCAGCTAGGCCCTGAAAGGATCCTTACAAACCTTACCATTCAGCTCGCCATACGACGCAGTTATGGAAGGAAGCCTTCAAACAGGCCTTGCCTCCACAGCAATGGTCTGCCCACATTTGCTGCACCGGGGTCGATAAAGTTTGTCCTTTCTTGCAGGGGTCTTCGCAGTTCATCTTGTCTAGGTGGTCCACGGCCTTTGTTTTATCTCGCAGTGGTTGGCAGGTTTTGTCTTACCTCGCAGTGACGCAGAGCTTGTCTTACCTCGCGCTGGTCCGCAGAGCATGTCTACCCTCGCGGTGGTCCCCGCAGTTTGTCTTAGCTCGCAATGGTTCGCAGTGACGCTGAGTTTGTCTTATCAGAGTATGTCAAAAATAACCAAGTATGTCTACCCTCATGGTGGTCCGCGAAGTTTGTCGTATGTAGCCGCGGCCCGCGGAGTCTGTCTTGTCTAACCTCGCAGTGGTCCGCGGAGTTTGTCTAACCTCACGGTAGACTGCGAAATTTGTCAAACTTCGCGGTGGTCTGCGGAGTTTGTCTAACCTCGCGGCGGTCCGCGGAGTTTGTCTAATATCCCGGTGGTCCGCGCAGTTTGTCTAACCTCACGGTGGTCCGTAGAGTTTGTCTACATTCGCGGTGTTCCGCGGAGTTTGTCTATCCTTGCGGTGTTCCGCGGGGTTTGTCTAGAACTCGCGGTGGTCCGCTGAGTTTGTCTAACCTCGCGGTGGTCTGCGGAGTTTGTCTACATTCGCGGTGGTCTGCGGAGTTTGTCTAACATCGCGGTGGTCCGCGGAGTTTGTCT